CTGGAGCAAACATCAATTCAGGTATACTGTGGATTGACGTTTGTTCCGATTGCACTTTAAAGAGATTTTAGCAGGGGAAACTCCGGAACAACAACAAAAAAATGGCGTTCAGACACAGTGCTTTAAATCACGAACTGTGCCTATGAGCTGAACGGCTGGAGATTCTTTTCTTTCCCATATTCTCTTTCTGAGTCCTTCTGGACCAACATGCACATGCGACAAAGATAAGCTTGCAAATGTGTTTTGGGTTTGCTGCGGTTCACTGTTGACATATACAGTGGTTACATACGCTTCAGGTTACATACACTTCAGGTTACAGACTCCACTAACCCAGAAATAGTGCTTCAGGTTAAGAACTTTGCTTCAGGATGAGAACAGAAATTCTGCTCTGGTGGCACGGCAGCAGCAGGAGGCCCTATTAGCTAAAGTGGTGCTTCAGGTTAAGAACGGACCTCTGGAACGAATTAAGTACTTAACCTGAGGTACCACTGTACACGAACACAGTGTTTGCGGGAATGGGGGAAGAGCCCTGGAAAAGTTTGACTGAGGGAAGTTGCCCTGAAGAGGGGTGGGTGTCGTATTTATTTACTAGTACAAAAATGTAGCCTACTACCCATCACAGCTATTTAAATGTGTCTCAAAGGGCTGGTTCACACATGCTTGTTCATCCGTCGATCTCTCTTCTCTATACTTGATAACTGACAACTAAATGTATGCCATTGAAAAACACTGGATTTAGGATGGTTATATGGAAGCGTGATTTGTGATGTTTGATCTCCAAAGCTGCATTCCAACAGGCGAGTCGTCACCCAAGTCCTCTACACGTTATTCACATTTAGCTGCATGCCTGAAGTTATGTGACTCCTACCATTACCAGGTTTGTTAGAACTCCCAAAATAGGTATCCAGCTGTAGGAAGAGCCAGTGTGGTGTAGTCGTTAAGAGCGGTAGACTCGTAATCTGGTGAACTGGGTTCGATTCCCCACTCCTCCACATGCAGCTGCTGGGGGACCTTGGGCTAGTCACACTTCTTTGAAGTCTCTCAGCCCCACTCACCTCACAGAGTGTTTGTTGTGGGGGAGGAAGGGAAAGGAGAATGTTAGCCGCTTTGAGACTCCTTAGGGTAGTGATAAAGCGGGATATCAAATCCAAACTCTTCTTCTTCTTCTTCTAGCTGCATGGCTTGGGGAGGGCAGAGCTAAATGCCCTGCCCCCAATGTCAACATGCATACCTTGACACGCAAGTAACAAACAAAGATGGCTTTGATGGTGCAATAATCTAATAGTGTGTGAGCTTCTTACTCATTCAGCATTTGATTGACACATGATGCATGCTGGTTGTTAGTGACTGCTGTAATTTTTTGGTTGGTTTTAAGTGTATTTAAATTATTGGGTCCTGCTTTAAAGATTTTGTAAAGCTGCCTTGCAAGGATTTCTTCCTTTCCTTTCCTCCCCACCCCTCCTCGAAAGGTGGGATGTGAATTTCTTAAATGAACGAACAAAGGCTGCCCTTGGCTTGAATGCACAATATACAGCCCCAGTCAAAATAGGCACAACTGTCTTCCAGTTTGCAATCTGAAGCTACTGCTTTGTCATTCCATTCCATTCTTTCTTAATGTATTCTGAGCAATCGAGATGAGTAAAGATTAAAGGGATCAACAGAAAATGCTTATCAGAGCTGTCAGAGGCAGGGTGGGGGAGAGAGAAGATGATATAGAGATGGTGAATATCCATGACATTAACATTCATGTAATAGCGTAATATTTTGGGATAGGTGAACAGCCTGATCAAAATTGGGTAAAATCAAGAGCGTGACTCTTACTGGCTGGCTGGCATATCAGCTTAATTTTAACTACCGAATGGAAAACAGGGATCTTATTGGTAAAACTTCTCATCACCATACCTACTTCTCGTGGCAAGATGGGAAAAGCAAGAACTTCAACTTCTTCCATCAATTCCAAATTGTTAAGACAGATAAACATGATCCCAGAATATGGTTTGAAGGCCACCAGCTTACTGAAGCTAAGCAGGTCTGCATCTGGTCAGTTCCTGGAGGGCTGACTGTCTAGGAATCACGTGTATGATATCTTGGGTTCTCTGCAGGAAGAAAGGCAGCTTGGCCATTTTAAGTAGCCCTTCTCTCTGTGTTGGGCAAGAGATGTGCTAGGAAGGGATTATGATGCTGACTGTTGAACTCCAGTGGGTACCCCTGGGGGCTAATGTCCCAGTGCCAGGAGATATTAGCCTCTTACCAGAACACTTACCAAGGACAGCAGGTTTGAAGGAGCAACGCCACCCAAGCAAGTCAGGGTCCAGCGCAGAGACTTGTTTCAGGTCCAAAACGTGATCCAGAGGCAACTGCCCAAGGTCAATAAGCACAGGGGATGCAGGTAAGGTGCAAGGAGGGGATACCAGGCTTGGGAATGGGGTTCAGGGATTATATATGTTGTTTGGGAAATATATACTAATGTCTTATGAGGTAGTGTAGTCCCAGGGAGCCTTTAAAACATATTAGAACTTTGCCATGTATTTGCTTGCCATTTTTACAGATAGGTGAAGCGAAATATTTCACGAATGGTTGAACTAGTTGGGTCTTATCCAGTGGTCAGTCTTTCATGTGAAATGTTTACCCTGAAATTGTCAGCCTAAAAAAACCAACCAGTTGTCCTTATGCTTTTTGTTATGTAACCAGATTTGTTTTAAATAGTGATTTAAGGAAGAAAAAAACAATTGTCATAAGTGTCACCAGGTTTGTCAACAAGTGTATTTATTCCATGGAGAAAAGGCTGGATGTACAGGACAAGAATGGTCTAATGCATTAGCAGAGAAGCTGGCCAAGGAAGTCTGAGCACTGAGAGGATTAGACTGTGAGGATGGTTTCATAGGACAGTGATATGCCTTTATTCAATGGGTGAAAAATGCACGAATGAACACAATATGAATTAATAGCTTTTCCAGTGGACTACCATGCTTCATAAATGCTCAAAATCTTCCTCAGGACACTAGCAGTGTTCGCTGACAGCCCACTGGGTCAAGAGCCCACAAAAACTTGGGAGTGAAAGCCAATGGAGCTGAAAAACTAAATGTTACCTTAAACTGAATATCAATTTAAAAAATTGGAAAAATAAAATAAAAAATAAACTGAATGGGGATTTGTGCCTTATTTTTATTATTATTACACATGACTCACAATGTGGGTATGTTCAGAGAAAGTGAAAACCAATCAGATAATTATGCTGTTCTTTGGCAACGGTGCCATAGGGCAAGCTTAAATAATGACCTTCCGTTCCAGCAGATGAAATACATTTGGTTTATTTCTTTTCTAGTTTTTTTTGTTTTGTTTTTACATATACATATATCATATACATAAGTGAAATTCTTCACCAGCTTGTTCACTTCCATAAACATAAAAATCCATCCAAGAGGCTTTATGTTTTCGTTGTGCCAAAGCAAGATTATTCCAACTCATTTTTTAAAAAACGTAGTTGTCATGGTCATGAACATGTACACAAGAAAGGGGCTGGGGGGGAAACTACGATATCTCACAGCTTTGTAACATCAGGCAAATTATTGTCTGCATACCATAGAAGGGAGACTCCAGCAATGGTAAAACAGACAGAAGTGTATTTATATACAGGGAAAAAAACCAAAAGCAAATGTAAACTTAATCCCCAAAATATTATTTCAATGATATAAAAACAATATCCACATAAGTGAGTCCATCTACCATGTGGAAGAGGATCTCCATAAGTGCCTTCATTAAATATGAAATTGCCTTTCTAGTACCTGTAAAGAGGGAATAGAGATTTTAAAAGAAATTCTATAGTACCTGTAGAGAATATTAACAAAATGCTTTGGACCCTTTGGCTACTGGTATGAAGGAAGTAGGTTGTGCTTTGCCCCTTCTTGTTCCCATAGGGAGAAATTAACCTTCATGGGCAGAATCCTGGCACATAGGGTAGCTTCAGGATCCTGCCTGGCATAACAAAATCTACTCCGTATCTAAGAAGAAAATGATTGGTCAATAGTACAATTGGCCAATGAACAGTAGTGGAAGGACAACAATTAGGGGAAAGGGTTGGCCGTGAACCAAGACTGATGGAGGCCAGGTAACCTACATGGTTAGGGTTATAGTCTGTTATTCCAACCTCAAGTCGTGTAATGGGATGAAGGCTAGTATAGTCTACAATTCAACCTCAGTTGTTGTTTAGATTTTAGCTTAGAATATACACGGACAATTCCTTTAAAAAAAATAAAAATAAAGGGGTCGCAAAGGAATTTGCACCAGTTTGTTTGCATGCATGCAGGTTTGTGTGTATGTGTGTGCATGAGTGCACAAGAACAATTGTTTTGTCTTCCTATTATGCTTATGATCAACATTCCCCAGAGAGGTCATATTCTATAAGCTCGTACCAGCAAGAACAAACCATTTTGGTGGCAACTGTGTATAGGACTGCTGAAGGTCAACCTCAACACCAGCATTCTCAATGGTTGCTGGAATTGTAGGAGGGAGTTCCATCAACTCAACTCAAGGCTGATGCTCTTGACTGTGTGTGGCTCTGAAGACCTGTCACAAGCCACCACAGCCGATGGCAGCCTTCAACACCACCACCAAACTCTTCCACATGCTGCCTTCTATAATAGTATCCACATGTTTTTCATTAGGACACACTTTTGATTACCTTTGACAAAAGTCTGGCCTACTCTACTTGTCTTGAGATAAGATCATCAAGTCACTGGAGGTTGGCAGTGGTGCGTAATGCACTATGTCCCTCAATGTGAGGGATACTCGAGAGATATGCTTTCCCTCTTAACTCTGATTCTTCTGTGTGCAGGCCTCAGATGAACTAGAGATGAGAGGGGAAGCTTAGGAGGAAGGGAAGAGCTCCATGTTCTGCCTTGACTTTAAGGGCTTATCCATGCTTTCCTCTGCTCTTTCCAGGTACAGTCCACGTTTTAAAGCTCTCTGTCCAAGCGGCCCCCACTTTTGCTCCTGAGGTTTTCCCACAAAAACCCGCTCTTTAAAGCTTAATCGGAGTAAACAACAAGCCAAATTGATGTTTATTTTGATTGAGTGCTAAAGAGCAGGTTTTTGGAGGAAAAGCTCCGGAGGAAAAATAAAATGTTTGGACACTGAACTTTTAAGTGCGGACCTGTGCGTGGAAAGAGGGGGACAAAAGTTAAAGTGTGGGTAAGCTCGAAATGTTCTTCCTTGACACTGGGCGATCCAAGAAAAGAGAAATGGAGTGCTACCTTTTCGGTGTTGCTATGGTGAAAGCTTCACCGCTCAGGACATGGGCTTTCAAGACCTAGAGCAGGGTCCAGCCCAGCCCTTGTGTATAATTTCAGTGGAGGAACTCAGCAAGTGTTAAGGGTGTTTTACTGAAAGAGAAGCAAGGCATGAAGTCCCTGTTAATGGTATTTCTGATCCCATGAGCACATTTCAGTACTGCTATGCACAACCGATTGATTCATATGCCGACACATTATGCAGCAGTACTACTTTAAACTCCCACTAACCATTTACAATCAGCTTTGACAGGGAAATGTCTCCACCAAGAAATCAAATGAATAACCACAAAACAATGGTACAGAAAGATCTCCTTGAGTTGGCATTTTCCTGTTAGAAATAATAAATAAAACCTCATCCTCAGAGTCACTGCAAATGTCAAGTCAGCTACACCATTTCTTCAAGAGGTAACAAAGAAATAAAGTGGGTCCCGACTGGACTAACTTCTAATGTCACATGAATATGTAAGCTTTTGAATCTCACATACCTCTGCGTAAGGGAGGATGGAAAGCTCACTGCAGCTATGTATTGAGCAAAGGTGGTTTCAGTTGCTTCAGACAAACCGCTATTCTAAACACAGAAAAACTTTAAACGTAAGTCTCAACAAGTGGGAAGGACGTGCGGTTTAAATGCCATCTCTGCTATGAACACAGAAGTCAGAGAAGGCTTGAACTAAAGGGAACATTTCTGGAATTACTATCCAGTAATCCTTATGTAAATTGAACAAAATAGCTAATGCATCTGGCCGATTCCTTCCTAAAGCCACATCTGAAAAAGAGGCAACTGCTTGCTGTAGTTTACATCCATTCACAGCTGATATTTTTTTGGGGGGGGGTAGAGATAGGAAATGATGACTAAAACAAAGCACCCAGAAACAATAAGCTCATTATACAATAGGAGACCTATTGTATTCTGCCACAACAGCTACCTGTCATACAACACACAGTCACTTAAAAGGCATGGCACACGTTACTAGTACAAGGTGAAACTTAAGTTCTAAATTTGCCAGTCGATTCAAGTTCTCAAGGCAAAATTCACATGCAGTATGACATCCTAAGTGCTACGATATGCCTCTATAAAGAATTGTTGTTTTTTTATTTTGAGGAGACACTAGCCAGCTGTCCAAAATATTTTGCAGGCCTTTTCATCAAGAATACAAGACCCATTATTTAGCAAAGGTTCATGTTTTGCCTCATGATCTTGCCTGTTTTCCTTGGCAATAGCCCAGACACGGTACTGACCCACTACGCTCCTCCCATCCGCATCTTTTCATTCTGCCCCAATTCAAAATGAAATCCAGAAATTTGGGATAGAATCATTCTTAGCACCTGAACATTTCCAGAGTGTTCAAAGCACTGAACATAAATTATCAAAGCAAGCCTTGAAACAACCCTATCTGGCAGCCCAGTGCTATCTTCTGCCTATTGCAGATGGGGAGCTGAGGCTTAGAGATGGAAGCTTGCTTAAAAATATTCACATAAAGGCCCCGATCTCTTCCGAAACTTGCAGCCATGTCTGGCAACCTAGTAAACTCTAGCACAGTGCCTGATGAAAAGACAGTTTTGTTCTGCCGTGTACCAGTTAAAGCAGTCTTGACAGTCTGAAAGAGGAATTTAAATCAATCACCGATTTTCAGACAAGTCTGTCTGCTGAGAAACGTAAGCGCATTACCTCTTTGCAGACAATGGTACCTAGGGCACACTGCAAATCGGAAAATTAAGTTGATTTAATCCACCATTTGGAGTGATCCTGGGAACGGATCACAAATTTGGCACAGGGAAGGTGCCAAGTTGTAGAAGCTGCAAGATATGACTGCAAGATGTTAAAAGCAAGCACATATGCCATACAAACTGTCTGCCAGAAGCTTCCTGAGCTCAGGAATGTCATATTCACAATTAAAGGAGAATATAAATGACTCCTTGAACAATGGCTAGGCTGTAAAACGTCTTTTTTAAATGAACGAAGAGCTTTCTTTCTTTCTTTCTTTCTCAAAGATAATTTTTACTTAGCATCTAATTGCAATAAAACAGGAACAGATGCAAGATCTCAGCTTAGCAGAACTTAGTTTACTTATAGACTCCTCAGAGGAAAATTGAAATACTGACTTAGAGAGCTCTGCGCATGTGCACATGATGGGGAGCAATCAGCATTTGGAACACTTTCCAACCATTTCAGTTTGTGTGAGAGGAACCTGATTAGGCAAAAACCCATCGGCTGAAGATGCATTTGGGCCAGCTTTGCAAGTTAGACCACAGAAACTACTAACACCCAAAGTTCTATAAGCCTATCTGCCCACACATACCCACGCTAGTCATTTGTGTAAATGAATTTTCTAAAGCTATCCTGAATGGTTTCCCTGGAGACAATCCTTACTTGTGGTAGGTGAGCAGACAAAGCAACACTTTGCAAATCTGTTTTGGCCATCTCATCATAACCTCATCATCAGTTCTGGCTGGTGCCCATCGAAGGTGGTGGGGTGGAATGCAGGGAGCCCAAACAGTAGACAGAACCAGTGCCAATGAGAGGCAGGGCCAACTAATTCTACTTTTATTCCAATTCTCCTCCCCGCTGAGTTCTGCAAGGGCAACACTGAGACAAAGGGCGAAGAAGCTGACAGCCAGTGCCTCTCCCTGGACTGGTTTTAAGTAAGAAGGTAGGCCAGTGGGAACTGGCTGAGGAGAAACCAACATGGGTGGAGCAGCACCCCACTGAGCCTAGTCGGCCACCCTCCATTAAAGGTCAATTCTTGTAGAGAAGGTTAAGCGCTGCTTGCAATCCTATTTCCATTTGAAAACCCAGATTGCTACTACACTGTGGACCATGTGGATTCTCAATTTTAAAAGCAAGCAAGCAAGCAAGCAAGCAAGCAAGCAAGCAAGCAACCGAGTATTTATAAATATACTGTACAACCAACAGAGTATTTATAAATATACTGTACAAGCCAAGTTAACATACACATGGATGTAGAAACTACTCTGCCGTGTTGTGTTGTGGAATGTGGAGCTGTTGCACAAAGAACAGATCCAGGGGTGAAAGTTAAGGCCCAGAGGGGTGAGAAGAAGAAAGAGAAGTGATTAAAAGAATAACAAGGCATAATTTCAAGGAATAACCGGCCCCAGTTAAGGTCAAGCACATGGCTTTTAATTCCAGGTAGGGATGTACTTTTGTATCAACGTTCACCTTTGTCTGAGTATGTATGTCCCTATCACCACTATGGAAATGCTAGATCAGAACAACTATAGCTTGCTTCTCAAGTGCATATAAAATAAGTATCTGAATGTATATAAAAGCCACAACCCACAGTTCAGTCGCATTCTAGCGTGACCAAGAAACAGAGCCCCAAACGGCTGGAGTCCCCGTGTCACCAGGGGTGGGGAAAAAGCTTAGCTTCCTCAAGTGCATTTTTCAGTTTTCTCCCGTGAAGCAAATATACAGGAAAAATAAATGTAGTGCTTTGAGAAAAAGCAGAGAGCTACTCTTGGGAACAATGCTGCACTGAAAGCAAAACCTTCTCAGGCCTAACAGAGATGCTATCTGAGAGGCGCAGGGTGGGAATGGTGGGTGGGGTGGGGGTTGTCCTTGCAATTTACAAGCACTCCCTCAACACATACGCTCTGTCATCATGACGGACATTTTGCTAGTAATAAATAATTAGAATTTCCCTACGGTTCTTAAAATAAATAAAAAAGAACAGATATAAAACGCAACATTTCAATTTATTTGCTCCGCCAACGTTCACAATGAGGCTTCGGCATTCATTATGGTAGACATTGCGAACGAGAGCACGTGTGAAGCACACTCCAGCTTTCAATTGTGCAACTTAAAACTGCCATCTTGGGGGCTATTTTGGTGCCCTGTAGTACTGCAAAATGATCAGCAGAAGGTTTCACTGCGGTTACCCAGCCTTTTAAAGCTACCACACAGGAACACGGTGTACAACGGGCTCAGTTTGCATCCTTAGCTTCTCAACAACAGGAAGTGGGGGGGAAAGAGGATGGCATGTCAGTAGTAGCTATGTTTTATCCACGGGCAAAAGAGCAAGGTGAATGTTTCACTGGGGAACCTTCCTTTGAGGATACAGATCTCCCCAGGTACCCTTCCTTCCTTCCTTCCTTCCCCTGAACTACCAGTACTCAGCTCTTTTACTGTTTTCCGCTCTCCTCTCCCTGCCAATTTTCTAAAGCAAAGATGGCCACAGATTCATTCATTCAGGAAAGAAAATAATAATCAAAGTGTGTGTGTGTGTGTGTGTGTGTGTGTGTGTGTGTATAGAGAGAGAGAGAGCGATAGAGAGAGCGAGCGAGAGAGAGATCTTCTATAATTTAATGTTCTTTCATTCTCTTTGGAAGCCATGCTCAAACTCAAACCATCCTTAGACTCATAGAACCATCAGTGAAGGGATCAGGTTTGCACAAAAGGCAGTTTCAGCCCAAGGACCACTGTCAGGCAAACAAAACAAGTACTCCTGTCCTCCAGAATACAAAGCCACCCACTGCTCTAAAAGACACTGCCAACTTGCACCTAGGAAGTGGTACCAAGTACTAAGGGTTGCATTCAACTAAGCTTCACTCTAAACAGACCTGCTGCAATTAATGGCCCAAAATTAGTTGTGTCTATTAATTTCACTGGGTCTATTCTGAGTAGGCATTACAGTGAGTACAACCCTAAGCCTCCAACAATGTCTGCATCACCCACCTCTCAGATGAGACCCCCCAAGACAGTACTATCTGGCCAAGAGAAAAGCTCTCTGCCCCACAGTGCAGATTGTCAAGGGGTGGGTGTATATAGGGGGAAATGCAAAAGAAGATAGT